GATCTTTGTTCGACCCCCTGCCGGTCATTGCTCGACGCCTTCCCGGTCTTCTCCCGGGGCCTTCCCGGTCTTTGTTCGACGCCTGCCCGGTCATTGCTCGCCGCCTTTCCGGTCTTTCCCCGCAGCCTTCCTAGTCTTTGCTCGACGCCTGCCCGGTCATTGCTCGACGCCTTTCCGGTCTTCTCCCGACGCCCTCCCGGTCTTTGCTCGATGTTTTCCCGGTCTTTGCTGGACGCCTTCCCGGTCTTGCCTTCCAGCCTTCCCGGTCTTTCCCCGCAGCCTTCCCGGTCATTGCTCGACACCTTCCTGGTCTTCTCCCGGGGCCTTCCCGGTCCTTCCTCGACGCCTTCCCGGTCTTTCCCCTTCCTGCCTTCACGGTCATTGCTCGACGCCTTCCTGGTCATTGCTCGACGCCCTCCCCGGTCTTCTCCCGGTCATTGCTCGACGTTTTCACGGTCATTGCTTGACGCTTTCCCGGTCATTGCTCGACGCCTTCCCGGTCTGCTCCCGGGGCCTTCCCGGTCTTTCCTCGACGCCTTCCCGGTCCTTCCTGGACGCCTTCCCTGTCTTCTCTGGGGCCTTCCCGGTCTTCCTTCGGGGCCTTCCCGGTCTTCGCGCAACGCCTTCCCGGTCCTTCCTGGACGCCTTTTTGGTCTTCTCCCGGAACCTTTCGGTTATTGCTCGACACCTTCCGGGTCTTTCCCCGCAGCCTTCCCGGTCTTTCCCCGCAGCCCTCCCGGTCTTTGTCTTTTGTTCGACCCCTTTCCGGTCATTGCTCGGCGCCTTCCCGGTCTTCTCCCGGGGCCTTCCCTGCCCGGTCATTGCTCGACGCCTTTCCGGTCTTTCCCCGCAGCCTGCCCAGTCTTTGCTCGACGCCTTCCCGGCCATTGCTCCACGCCATCCCGGTTTTGTCCCGGGGCCATCTCGGTCCTTTCTTAACGCCGTCCCGTTCTTTTTTACGGGGCCTTCCCGGCTCGACACCTTCCCGGTCCTTCCTCGACGCCTTCCATGTCTTCTGTCGGGGCCTTCCCGGTTTGCTCGACGCCTTCCCGGTCTGTCCCCGCAGCCTTAGCCTTCCCCGTCGTTGCTCGACTCTTCCCGGTCGTTCCCCGCAGCCTTCCTGGTCTTTCCCCGCAGCCCTCCCGCTCTTTCCCCGCAGCCTTCCCGGTCATTCTCGATGTCTTCCCGGGTCTGCTCCCGGGGCCTTCCCGGGCCTTCCCGGTCTTCCCTCGGGGCTTTCCCGGTCTTCGCGCGACGCCTTCCCGGTCCTTCCTCGACGCCTTCCCGGTCTTCTCCCGGAACCTTCCGGTCATTGCTCGACACCTTCCCGGTCTTTCCCCGCAGCCCTCCCGGTCTTTCTTCCCGGTCTTTTGTTCGACCCCTTCCCGGTCATTGCTCGACGCCTTCCCGGTCTTCTCCGGGGGCCTTCCCGGTCTTTGCTCGGGGCCTTCCCGGTCCTTCCTGGACGCCTTCCCTGTCTTCTCCCGGAGCCTTCCCGGTCTTCCCTCGACGCCTTCCCGGTCCTTCCTCGACGCCATCCCCGTCTTGTCCCGGGGCCTTCCCGGTCCTTTCTTAACGCCGTCCCTGTTTTTTTACGGGGCCTTCCCGGCTCGACACCTTCCCGGTCCTTCCTCGACGCCTTTGCTCGACGCCTTCCCGGTCCTTCCTTGACGCCGGGCCCTTCCCGGTCTTTGCTCGACGCCTTCCCGGTCCTTCCTTGACGCCTTCCCGTTCTTCTCCCGGGGCCTTCCCGGTCTTTGCTCGACGCTTTCCCGGTCCTTCCTGGACACCTTCCCGGTCTTTCCCCGCAGCCTTCACGGTCATTGCTCGACGCCTTCCCGGTCATTGCTCGACGCCTTCCCCGGTCTGCTCCCGGGTCCTTCCCGGTCTTCCCTCGACGCCTTCCCGGTCTTCTCCTCGACGCCTCATTGCTCGACGTCTTCACGGTCATTGCTCGACGCTTTCCCGCCTTCCCGGTCCGCTCCCGGGGCCTTCCCGGTCTTTCCTCGACGCCTTCCCGCCCCTTCCTGGACGCCTTCCCTGTCTTCTCCCAGGGCCTTCCCGGTCTTCCCTCGGGGCCTTCCCGGTCTTCGCGCGACGCCTTCCCAGTCCTTCCTCGATGCCTTCCCAGTCTTGTTCCGGAACCTTCCGGTCATTGCTCGTTACCTTCCCGGTCTTTCCCCGCAGCCTTCCCGGTCTTTGTTCGGCCCCTTCCCGGTCATTGCTCGACGCCTTCCCGACGCCTGCCCGGTCATTGCTCGACGCCTTCCGGTCTTTCCCCGCAGCCTTCCCGGTCATTGCTCGACGTCTTCCCGGTCTTCTCCCGGGGCCTTCCCGGTCCTTCCTGGACACCTTCCCGGTCTTTCCCCGCAGCCTCACGGTCATGGCTGACGCCTTCCCGGTCTTCTCCTCGACGCCTTCCCGGTCATTGCTCGACGTCTTCACGGTCATTGCTCGACGCTTTCCCGGCTCGACGCCTTCCCGGTCTGCTCCCGGGGCCTTCCCGGTCTTTCCTCGACGCCTTCCCGGTCCTTCCTGGACGCCTTCCCTGTCTTCTCCCAGGGCCTTCCCGGTCTTCCCTCGGGGCCTTCCCGGTCTTCGCGCGAAGCCTTCCCGGTCCTTCCTCGACGCCTTCCCGGTCTTGTCCCGGAACCTTCCGGTCATTGCTCGTTACCTTCCCGGTCTTTCGCCGCAGCCTTCCCGGTCTTTGTTCGACCCCTTCCCGGTCATTGCTCGACGCCTTCCCGACGCCTGCCCGGTCATTGCTCGACGCCTTTCCGGTCTTTCCCAGTCTTTGCTGGACGCCTTCCCGGTCATTGCTCCACGCCATCCCGGTCTTGTCCCGGGGCCTTCCCGGTCCTTTCTTAACGCCGTCCCGGTTTTTTTACGGGGCCTTCCCGGCTCGACACCTTCCCTGTCCTTCCTCGACGCCTTCCCTGTCTTCTCACGGGGCCTTCCCGGTTTGCTCGACGCCTTCCCGGTCTTTCCCCGCAGCCTTCTCGGTCTTTCTTCGCAGCCTTCCCCGTCGCTGCTCGACACCTCTTCCCGGTCGTTCCCCGCAGCCTTCCTGGTCTTTCCCCGCAGCCCTCCCGCTCTTTCCCCGCTGCCTTCCCGGTCATTCTCGATGTCTTCCCGGTCTTCTCCAGGGGCTTCCCGGTCTTTGCTCGACGCCTTCCCTGTCATTGCTCGACGCCTTCCCGGTCTTCTCCCGGGGCCTTCCCGGTCTTTGCTCGACGCCTGCCCGGTCATTGCTCGACACCTTTCCGGTCTTTCCCCGCCGCCTTCCCAGTCTTTGCTCGACGCCTTCCCAGTCATTACTCCACGCCCTTCCCGGTCTTTGCTCGACGCCTTCTTCCGGTCATTGCTCCACGCCTTCCCGGTCTTTGCTCGACGCCTTCCCGGTTTTCTCCCGGGGCCTTCCCAGATCGATGCCTTCCCGGTCCTGGGGGGGGGGGGGCAGGGCCGCGCAAGAAATGGTAGACTGAGTGCCACGAAATACCCCAGCCGCAGAAGCGGCGCGGCCGCAGGTCATGGGTCTGCATAGATCTGACACATGCAGTGCGCTTGTGACAAACGCACTGAATGCTCGATGGCAAAGCCAGCCTTCCCGGTTTTTTTTGGACGCCTTCCCTGTCTTCTCCAGGGTCTTCCCAGTCTTTGCTGCTTCCTTGAGGCCTTCCCGGTCTTTCCCCGCAGCCTTCACGGTCATTGCTCGACACCTTCCCGGTCATAGACACCTAACTGACTAGCGATGGCAGCGCCTGTCTTCTCCCGCAGCCTTCCCGGTCTTTGCTCGAGGCCCGATCACTGCTCGACGCCTTCCCGGTCCCCGGTCCTGGCTGTGGCTAGACTTGCCCGGTCTTTTGTCCGCAGCGTCCCTCCAGGTTGCCCACCTGGGCCTTTGGCTGGGCGTATTTCCGGCTTCGGTCCGCCAGCAGTCTGCATAGATCTGACACGCGCAGTGCGCTTGTCACAAACGCACTGAATGCTCGATGGCAAAGCCAGCCTTCCCGGTCCCTCCTGGACGCCTTCCCTGTCTTCTCCAGGGTCTTCCCAGACTTTGCTGCTTGCTGGAGGCCTTCCCGGTCTTCTTTCCATCCGCAGCCTTCACGGTCATTGCTCGACGCCTTCCCGGTCATAGACCCCTAACTGACTAGCGATGGCAGCGTGGCACTTTCTCCTGATGTTTGGAGCATACTTTCCACAGCCAGATTCCGAAGCATAGTTTCCGAAGCAGTCAGCGACCCCCCCCCCTTCCCCGACCCCAGGAGGCCACAGAAATACCCCAGCCGCAGAAGCGGCGCGGCCGCAGGTCATGGGTCTGCATAGATCTGACACATGCAGTGCGCTTGTGACAAACGCACTGAATGCTCGATGGCAAAGCCAGCCTTCCCGGTTTTTTTTGGACGCCTTCCCTGTCTTCTCCAGGGTCTTCCCAGTCTTTGCTGCTTCCTTGAGGCCTTCCCGGTCTTTCCCCGCAGCCTTCACGGTCATTGCTCGACACCTTCCCGGTCATAGACACCTGACTGACTAGCGATGGCAGCGTGGCACTTTCACCTGGTGCTTGAAGCATACTTTGGTCGCCTGGTCACAAGTAAGTGAATTCCATGGTCATAAATAAGGGAAGTGATGGCAGCGTGGCACTTTCTCCTGGTGCTTGAAGCATGATACTTTGGTCGCCTGGTCACAAGTAAGTGAATTCCATGGTCATAAATAAGGGAAGTTGATGGACAAATATAAGCAAAATGCGTATGGTCAGAAATAAGTGAAAAGTATGGCCATTTTTGAGTGCCGAGCCGCTCCAAAGCCCTATTGGTTTTCCTTTAGATACTGGGTGCTAGATAGTTACCATGCTGCTCCCTGACCAAGAACAACACCTACCAGCCCTGTTTTGAAAAAGGCTCCCACATGAGTTTTTGTCAGATATGTCTTTTTCTGTCTTTGGGGTCCTCCCTTTTAACCGGCAGGTTCACCATGTTTCAAGCACCTCGGCATTTCAGGATGGAGACGCTGCTGCAACTCCATGCGCCCCAGTCCGCCCAAGGCGGAGTTGGATCCGATGTCTTGGAGTTTCCTTGGAAGGGAAAACGTCAAAAAGCCGGCGGTTTCCGTTGGCCGCAGAGCTTTACAGGCCGTTAAAAAGGGGGTGCCAGCTTCCACAAAACCACACAAATGTGTGGTTCCCTTTTTTTAGGATAGCCCGTTCGGAGTGGTCAAGGGAAACCGAATGGAAACTCCACATTTTGGGCTACCTCTTTTAAAGCATACCTGGGTGTAGTTAGCATCCGAAAGGATGCAAGGTGTTGCCCATTCAACGGGTCACCCAAACTGAAATGTATGTTTTGGTGTGCGTGTGTGTGTGTGTGTGTGTTGTGCGTGAGGCTTACTTGAGGTAGGGGTGGGCAAGGCTGGGCATTCAGACAAATGCCTACATGGTCGGGATGGGTACGTGTCGAAATAGGGGGACTCTCAAACTAGTGGTTTGCCTGTTGATTTGCTCTGAGGCCACTCAACAAATGGCACCCGCAAACATGACATCCCAGATCAAGTTGTAAAGATTCATAGGTGTTCACAATGGTTCTCACCGGGATGAGAGTTATCTCTTAAATCCCCATGGTTATAGCCAACGTATTAAGGGGTAACTTTCCTTTTCAAGCATCCTTACCAGAAAACCGCGCTAAGGGCGGGAAACAGCTAGAGTTTTTTTCTTAAGGACCAGGCCTCAGAGATTTGGACAGCTGAGAAACGGATCCAGAGCCGTTTTCTGAATGCAGGTTTTCAGAATGCAGCGGTGCATGCTGCAAGCAGCTTGGCATGTGTGGATGCACTTGCTCACGCCAACGCGAGTCGACAGATTCTTTGCATTCTTTGTCATGCAGCATGCGTTGTTTGTTCCTCAAACGACCATTCAATTGGGATATTGTTCCAAGATCACGGGATGAATTCCCATTGCTGTTTCCAGTTCGCTTTTGAGGGGTAGGTCCCTCACTGGGTTCGTCCGGCACTGCTGCCAGCCTGGACGAAAACCTGGCTCGGGGGTTGCCTCACTGGTCAAGTTCCCAGTTGCTTGCTACTTTTTGAGAAGACTAGTTCAGTGGCAAATAAGCAGCTGGAGTTTTGTTTGGTGAGTCCACAAAGCTTGAAACAGTCACCATCACCAAGCCAATGTGGTGGCCTTTGTTTGTGTGCTTAGCTTGCTGCATCACCTAGGTTCAAGTGGGATTCATGGTTTTATTGAACTTGTTGATATAAGATGGTTTCAAAGCGTAGACTATGTCCGCAAGTGAACCCTAAGAATCAACCATGAAGTATGGCTTTCGGAGTCCAAGTTTGGCCAGAGAACAGAGACACAAACACAACCAGCAGTCCAGCCACCCGGTGATTGGTGTAGGGGTTTCCCTTTCAAGCTGAAAACCAAAAGGGGGCTGCCCATCTTTTCATGGAACTGACTGCAAAAGGAGCAGAGGTACTTCGCTCCCTTTCGAGACGAGGCAAGGGCCATTTGCCAGTGCTCAAGGCGCTGGCCAAGTGGACGGACCTCGCCAGGCGCGACCCTCGACTCTCCTGACTGGGGCCGACTCGGGCCTTCGACGCACCGGCCAAGATGAGCAGAAGGCACTGAGGGTCCCAACACCCTTCCCAAAAAGGGCACAAGGGTTTTTCTCCAGTCAACCACTTGATGGGGTAATTGGCTCCATGTTGCAGGAGAGTAGGTTTAAGCTTAAACTTTGAACTGTTCATGTTTCTTCTTCATTTTAGTCAAGGTACAAACACTTCAAGCTGTTTCTGGCTAGCAAACTCAGTACGTTTGTAAGACTACCCTGTGCAGTTTTCAGGGGCCAACAAGATCAGACTTGTTGCAAGGAGTCGTCCTCTATCAATTTGTGGCGCAGGTATTGGGCAAGCAGTTGAAAGGTTCCCTAGTGGACATGGATTCCGCTTCGTTGTCCGGGAGGTGCCAAGTGGTTGGCAATTCCAGAAATTATCTAGTTTTACCCAGTTGAACCCCATAATTCATAGTATGGGTGTGCGTCAAAATAGGCCCCCAAAAATTGGTGGTGTTGCCCTTAAACAAACCCCCAAAAGGGAACCCTCAAAAGAGCACAGCACAGCTCAATATAAGCCACTACAAGCAGGGCCGCTAACCCCACACCATCTAAGTCGGACGCCTGCGAGGGTCGAGTTGGTCATTTCGCGGCATGTGAGAGTGGGAAAATGGGAAAGGTGTCTCCTAGGCTTCTGTTCACCGGGGAGCAAAGACCCCCAGTGGTGCCCTTCCTTGTCGAAGATCAACCAACCCCCAAGGGGTCCGTGTTTGAACCAGAAACTAAGCCAGCTCGAACCAGGACACACTTTTGGTCCTGTCAAAATAAGGGGTTGCAGAAGTTGTGGTTTTTTGTTAGTGTTTAGACCAGCCCCAAAATCACAACCCCATACGAGCAACTGACGATAGTCCTGCGGTGAGTAAGGCTCAGTCAGCACACTGACATGGACGCCCAATTGGGGCCCTCCGTTGTGCTGACTATACCGATACGTTGAATAAGTTGAGCATGCTAACTGCTTGCTACTTGCTATACTATCGTGTTATAGTTTCTGGGGTCTCCCCCAAAACATATGTTATATTTTATGTAGGCCAAATATGGGGCATGTCAAGCACAGTTATTCTTGAGGTATCCCAGCTTTGGGCCACGGTTGGCTAGGACCGGCAGGGGAGGCACAAAAAAGCGCACATGCTTCTGTGGCAGGCGCGACAAGCAGGGCCGGCAACTGGCACCTTGGATGGTGGAGGTGTGTGAAACATGGGGGCCAAAACTCCTAACAGCCAGGGGTACCTTTTGATTATTTTTGTCCATTTTGGAGCGCCATTCCCTGCAAAATAATCTACCAATGGGTGGGTATGGAAACGTTGCTGTGGTTATGGAATATCACGTTGCTTCTGTGGTGCGCCGAGAGAACAAGCCCAGATTCCAATACCGATTTGGGAGTTTCTCACAATGGACCCCTGTTGGATGACTTCAATCAACGGCAAACCAGCAAGAAACCAAGTAACCTTGCGGATTCCCGTATTTTTTTGAGACAAATCAATTTTCCCAGACTTCCAGTTTGCATGGCTTCAAGGGCAAACCAAGCCCATCAAGTCACAAGAAATCGCAACTGTTTTCCCGTGCGGAAGAGGCTGGCGCACCTATGGCTCAGGCGGACCATGCGGAGTACTATCAGCATGTGTCGGTGGGGCACTCAAATCAGCAGCTCCACCGAGGCAAATCGAGCAAAAACCCATAGCCTTGTACTTGGGGATCCCTGATTTCTAAGGATAGAATCAACGTAAACGCTATTTTGGGGGCCTGGAAAGAATACTTGAAAGCGATCAAACTAAGTGACCAAGCATTTAAGGAGTCCCAACCCAGATCTCATTGCATCGTGCTCAGAAGGCTCATTCAGTTATCACTAAGAATAAGTTCAATGCAAGCATCATGCAAAACCTATGTGTAAAGAAGAAAACACAAACGCGATACCTGTCTCAGACGCTTGGAAATGGAATTATGTAGGTCGCAGTCACACCAGCCCGTTCCCCGACCTACCTTCTCCCTGAGCTCTTCAGGGTTGCTCCGAGTGTCTAGATTTGTGCCGATCGATTCGGTTGAGCAACCCAAAACTGTGGGCTGACCAACATGGAACCGAATGCCAACTTTGTTGGACCACGAATTCGACTTTGCTGTTCCCGTGCCTGTGTTTAGTCCAAGTCTGGTCCCAAAAGGTGTCAACCCTGTGAAACCCGAACCCCCAGGCCGAAACTGGTTGCGAGATCCGCTTGCTAGGTGGCACAGTGGCTGAGGAAGCACACGGCAAGCTCGCCCAAAGGGGGCAAGGGCTCAAAGAAGCCGTCGACGGAGCTTTAAAACGCGCAAGGTTTGCAGGGGATGGATTCGAATCTGCATGTTGCATTTCGGAGGGGATGAAGTTCGCCCCTTATGTTTAGCCCACACTTTGGAAAAGGATATTTGTTACTCCGGAATTTCATCTGCTGCGTTATGTTGTATCATGAAGTGTGATTCCACGTTGGACTCCCGTGAGCGTAAGTCTCAAATCTCGGTTGAGCATCAAGTCTGCTACGTGCTGAAAGGGGCGTTGTATGTCTCCATGTTGGGTTTAAAAGGACATGGTGATGGCTGGCAAACATTTCATATGCTAGTGGCACCTTCAGCAGACGGATGGCCGATTGAAAAGCATGCTGGGGTGGAGTTAGGGGAGTTGGTCGGGTCAGGTCCTGGGAGGGTTTAGTCAGATACCTGGGTCGGCTACCGCGGGTCAGGTACCTAGTGTTGGTGGCACCTTGACCTGGCTGGCAGTCGTTTCACGAAAGTATGTATGGTTTCAGGAAAGGCTGGGTGGTTTCAGGAGGTGCCGGGCTGTTTCAGGAAAGCCTGGGTGGTTTCAGCAGAGGCTGTGTGTTTTATGAAAGACTGGGTGGTGGTTTCAGGAAAGGTGTGGTGGTGTCAGGAAAGTCCGGGGTGGTTCCAGTAAAGGCTGCGTGGTTTCCGGGAAGGCTGTGTAGTTGAGGAAAGACTGGGTGCTGGTTTCAGGGGAGGCTGTGCGATTTCAGGAACGGCTGGGTGGTTTCAGGCGGTTTAGGGTCAGTTTAGGGTTGGTTTAGGGTCGGTTTAGGGTCAGTTTGGGGTTGGTTTAGGGTCGGTTTAGGGTTGGTTTAGGGTTGGTTTAGGGTTTGTTTAGGGTCGGTTTAGGGTTGGTTTAGAGGTCTGTGGCTGCAGGAAAGGCTGGGGCGGTTCATGAAAGAGTGATTGGTGGTTTCAGGAAAGACTGGACGGTTTCAGGAAAGGCTGTGTGGTTTCAGGAGGTGCCGGGTGGTTTCAGGAAAGGCTGAGCGAGGCTGTGTGGTCTCACGGAAGTGTGTATGGATTCAGAAAAGGAGGTGCCGGGTGGTTTCAGGAAAGACTAGGTGGTTTCAGGAGAGGCTGTGTGGCTTCAGGCTGGGTGGTTGTTTCAGGAAGTGGTTTCAGGAGAGGTTTGGTGGTGTCAGGAAAGTCTGGGGTGGTTCCAGCGTGGTTTCAGGAAAAGCTGCGCGGTTTCAGGAAAGGCTGCGTGGTTTCAGGAGGTGTCGCGTGGTTTCCGGCGAGGCTGTGGGGTTTCACGAAAGTGTGTGTTGCATATGATGTTGGAAGTCTGATGGTTAAGGGTTGATGTAGGTGAGGTTTAGGGTTCGTTTAGGGCTCCCTTAGGGTTGATTTAGGTGTGGTTTTAGGTTTGGTGTAGGATTGGTTTTAGGATTCGGATGTTTTAGGTTTGGTTTAGGTTTGTTTTAGAGGTTGTTTTAGGGTTGGTTTAGGTTTGGTTTAGGGTTGGTTTGGGGTTGGTTTAGGGTCGGTTTAGGGTCGGTTTAGGGTGGTTTTAGGGTTGTTTGAGGGTTGGTTTGGGTTGGTTTAGGATTGGTTTAGGGTTGGTTTAGGGTTGGTTTAGGGTCGGTTTAGGGTCGGTTTAGGGTCGGTTTAGGGTTGGTTTAGGGTTGGGGTTGGTTTAGGGTTGGTTTAGGGTCGGTTCAGGGTCGGTTTAGGGTCGGTTTAGGGTCGGTTTAGGGTTGGTTTAGGGTTGGTTTAGGGTTGGTTTAGGGTTGGTTTAGGGGTGGTTTAGGGTCGGTTTAGGGTCAGTTTAGGGTTGGTTTAGGGTTGGTTTAGGGTTGGTTTGGGGTTGGTTTAGGGTCGGTTTAGGGTTGGTTTAGGGTTGGTTTAGGGTTGGTTTAGGGTCAGTTTAGGGTTGGTTGAGAGGTCTGTGGCTGCAGGAAAGGCTGGGGCGGTTCATGAAAGAGTGATTGGTGTTTTCAGGAAAGACTGGACGGTTTCAGGAAAGGCTGTGTGGTTTCAGGAGGTGCCGGGTGGTTTCAGGAAAGGCTGAGCGAGGCTGTGTGGTCTCACGGAAGTGTGTATGGATTCAGAAAAGGAGGTGCCGGGTGGTTTCAGGAAAGACTAGGTGGTGTCAGGAGAGGCTGGCTGGGTGGTTGTTTCAGGAAGTGGTTTCAGGAGAGGTTTGGTGGTGTCAGGAAAGTCTGGGGTGGTTCCAGGAAAAGCTGCGTGGTTTCAGGAAAAGCTGCGTGGTTTCAGGAAAGGCTGTGTGGTTTCAGGAGGTGTCGTGTGGTTTCCGGCGAGGCTGTGGGGTTTCACGAAAGTGTGTGTCGCATATGATGTTGGAAGTCTGATGGTTAAGGGTTGATTTAGGTGAGGTTTAGGGTTTGTTTAGGGCTCCCTTAGGGTTGATTTAAGTGTGGTTTTAGGTTTGGTTTAGGTTTGGTTTTAGGATGTTTTAGGTTTGGTTTAGGTTTTGTTTAGGGTTGGTTTTAGGTTTGGTTTAGGTCAGGTTTAGGGCCAGCTTCGGGGGTTCATTCAGGGTTCATTTAGGGTTAGGTTTGGGTCGGGGGGCGGCAGCCCCCCCCCATGATGTTGGGAAGGGTGATGATTCAAACAAAGGTACGCTTAATCTAAAAACACAGCGGGGGTCGGGGGGGCGGCGGCCCCCCCCATGATGTTGGGAAGTATGGGAAGCCCAATCAGGAAAGGCCGGGTGGTTTCAGGAGGTGCCGGGTGGTTTTAGGAAGACTGGGTTGTTTTAGGAAAGGCTGCGTGGTTTCAGGCAACGTTGGGGGGGGGGGGGTTCATGAAAGATTGGTTGGTGGTTTCAGGAAAGACTGGGTGCTTTCAGGAGAGGCTTTGAGGTTTCAGGAGGTGCCGGGCGTGGTTTCCGGCGAGGCTGTTTGGTTTCAGGATAGGCGGGGTTTCAGGAAAGGCTGCGTGGCTGTGTGGTTGCAGGCTGGGTGGCGGTTTCAGGAAAGGCTGGGTGGTTTTAGGAAGGGTTGTGTGATATCAGGAAAGGCTGGGGTGTTTCATGAAAAACTGGCCGGTGGTTTCAGGAAAGGTTTGGCGGTGTCAGGAAATGGTTGCGGGAAAGACTGGGTGGTATCACGAATTCGGCAACAACCCTTTCAGAGGTAGCATTTCACGAATTTTTTTTCTGAAAAGCAAAATGAGTTTCCTGAAGCCAGCATGCTTCTGGAAAACAATTATTAAGCTTCCTGAACATGTTTCCGGAAACTTGCGGGTATGCATTTCGACCTTCTCGGGGTTGCTGACCCGTCGTCGGCTCGGGGTACCCGACCCGACCGGCACCCGTGGAGTTAGACGTTACTTACGTGACTCAAGTGAAGCAAGCGCTAGAACAATTGAACAACTGTGTCCGTGGTTGTTGCCAAAATTATTGTGGGTCATTTTCCCCCAACCTTTTGATGTTCCTTTGAACTTTAAACCTCGTAACAAGAAAAGGACACCCTCAAAAAACACACCCAAATTTTGCTTCTTTTGCGGTCCAATCCTGGCCAGGCGATCAACAAATCCTTGTTCACCCTGGGCCAGGCAGGACCCATGAACATGTCGGCGAGCAAAGGCCAGCAGCTTTGTGCTTTGTGCTTGTGGTGAAAATGTCTGTACAAGTCTCTCGAAGGACTTATGTGTTTGTTGGGCGAATTGCATGTTTGGCATACTGGGTGCCAGTGATTCAGTTTCAAGCTACTTCTTGGACTGGTGGCTGGGGGACGTGAGCCCCTTCCGAGTCGATTTGACAAGAACAAAACGAAACACCAAGAAAGATTTGGCTCTGAATGGAAACCGAGTTGGGCGGTAACGTTTGGTCCTACCTACTTAGTTTAGTGGCTTGACCCCTGGCACTGGGGTGGTTTGTTACGGGCTTAGCGTTTTCAATAGCCTATATACAGGAATAGTAATGCACACAAACAGAATCTGGCTGCTTTTAATTCAATTGTCCGGTGTTTCAATGTTTCATTTCAGATGAGGCTTCCAAACACAAGCTGTTTGCTTATTCACCGTAGGCTAGGAAGGCCACGCATGCTTACTTTGGGCCATGCTTCGATTGTTAGGCCTGATGGCCTTTACGGAAATGGGTGTTTTTCTTTAGTTGAATTGTGTGTGTGGGTGCAAAAAACTAGGGAACCCCCAGAATGGGTGGGTCCTTTGTGGTTTCCATTTAAACAGTCCACAAAGAATACCCTTACACAAAGCCAGAGCCAATGGCTGTACTTGATGCAGATGTTTGTCATGCTTAGAAGATCAAGTCGCTTGTTTGGACCGGGGATGTCATGGACCCTTAGGAGGTTTAGACAACCATCACAAGGATCCTATGTAATAATATGTGGGTCGGTTTTATCAGCAAAACCCATCTGTCCAAAAGAGAGGCTCCTCTCTACGTGTCTGAACTTTATGCTTTTCAGGAGTCGGTACCTTAGCACAGACCTTTGGTGCCCAGACCTTTAGTGGTGCATTAGTATTCAGGGCCAAAGAACCTGGTTGCTTGGTTCAAATGTTTTACTGCAAGATCCTTGTGCACCATATTATTGCTTAAGGCCCTTAAGGGTACAACCGCTCAGGCTACAACCGAAGCAGGAGGCAAAACAAGCGTAAAGAAGCCCCACGAAGGCGCACACTTGTCATAGTTGATTTGTGGCTTGGTCCACAGGGGGAATCCTTGACAGAAGTTTAGCTGACGCTGACTTCATCTGCATCTGAGATTGCGTTGTAGTTTGCGGGTGGGGGGCCTCAAACATTGTGGTGTTCCTTTTGGTTTCTCAACCGCAGAGGCAACATGGGTTGGCTTGGTTGGTGGCTTCATAGTGTATATCGCTTTATAAGCAAAGGCAACACACAGCAACGCTGTCCATATGCTTCATTCTTCTGGTGCCCTTTGTTCAGATTCCAACGAAGACTTGCTGTTTGGACACCGCCAGGTCATCTCCCAGCTCTCCCAGGGTCGCCCGGAAAGGCGCCAGCGGTCTGATGGGTTGGATTTTGCCTATGGGTCATGGCGCGAAAACCGGGGGTTATCATTTATTGAACCCTTAAGGTCGGGTCATAGAAACCAGCAAAAACGGAATTTCCGCATCTCAAATATTGAGATTCATGGAACCTGTTTTAATGGCGTATCCTTGGCTCCTAGGCTTATCCCAAAAAAGAATCCCCCCTTGGAGGTCCATGAACATGGTATGGGGTGGCGTTGGTCTGTTTGTCTTTATGACGACCGATTCGGACGTTAGACGAGCTCACCCGTGATGCGGTTTCTTAGCCTCCTTGCTGGAGTTTTGTGCATAGTTATGTGCTTTCTATTTGATTCCCTTTAGTACCACCCCAAAATCATCTGGAAACTACCCACGGACACACGTTCATTCTCAAGTTCCATCAGGATCATTCGGTCGTTTTCCAAAAAGCAAGCACCTGTTCAGTTGCAAAAACCTTTTACGCGCCAACTTGAGTCACCTCCATGTGGGTGTTTGCTTTTCTTTTTGCAACGGCTTCTTTCGGGCCGTATGGTGCCACTGGGCGGTCTGTTTTGAGAGCTTGGAGAAAATGTCTGGTCCCGCTGAAAGGGACAGTTCTGCCGTGTGAAGTGGACCGAAGAACTCCGATGTTTCCAAGCCAGTGCTTCCAGTCACCACTATAGTACAGTACGTACTAGGGGAAGACACAATTCACATCTATCAGGTGGGGAACCCAGCTGTTCCTGCGCACCTTAGTGGCCATGATGCGAGAAACTTCTGATCCGGGTGCCTGGGAGGCACGTGCCTTACCGGAACTCCAAGCTGACTCAGCTGTTGCAGGACTGAGGTTATTGTCGCCGAAGCCGCTCCAGTTAACCCAGACTCCCAGACACCTAGTGGGTTGCGAGCCCTTTGCCCAACCGTTTTGGACCGAAAAAAGTGTGCCCGCTTTTGCCCATGGCCACCAGGGGTCGGATGAGGGCCCCAAAACCTGGTCGTGGGTGCAAAGCCCGGCACCCTCTGTCTAACGATTGTGGAGGTTGGACGCACTACAAAGGCCCGTTGTGCACTTCCAGGATTGCTGGAATCTCCCCGAACTGTAGGTTGCTTGGGGTGCTAAGAATGGAATGTCTTCATATCATTTAGGTGACCTTCAGCGCATTTTTTTCGAGGCTATCCTTGTGTTTTCTTTTTCGACAGGAGACCCAAATGGGAAGCCCTCGCAATGGTGTTTAATTTCCGGACTTAGAGACACATGCTTTTCTTCCTGGCACGCCTTTCCACCAATTAGTAGTGCTCACCTGGAGTCTGCAACATGGCAGTTGCTTTCTCACTGGTGTTTTTTTTTTTTGCTCACATTGCAAGCAGTGGTTCCCACATGGTATCTAATTAAAGCTTTAAGTAGTGCCAAATGTGCAAAGTCTTCTACTTTGCACCGTCGCTACGGTTGATTCCCATTCTCTTCGCCCATTCTGGTTAGAAACTATCCCCTTTCCTCTTCCTTACCTTGTGTTGGCGGGAAAGAATCCTGTAAAGCGGACCCACGAGAGGCGACGTATGGAAGGTGGTGAGTGTGAGTGCCCAATGAAGACACCGTGCTGTCATGATCCCTTGGAACGAGCGAACACACGCATCTGGGGTCTTCTCCCAAAGTATTAAGCTACATGTTAAGGTTGACGGAATATGAAGTACGGAATCTGAGCATATTATGTTTGTTGTAATTTCCCTGGAGTTGAAGGTGTGGTTATGTTTTCCCTGTCTTCACGAGGATTTCTATCTCTTTGAACAGAACATTTGGGTATCCTCGGAAAGTATGTTGGGCCAAGGTTGGCTCTTCAGCAACCCTGGCACGCTCAAAAGTGCTGTATTGTTTCTGCGCGAATCCCGAGAAATGCCACTAAGTCACCAAGTTGTTTGGGGCGTCCCCATTCTTTCCCGGGATCCTTTTTAGGGGGAAGAATGCACAAACAACTGGACAACTGGGGGCGAAACAGCTGAAGCTTGAAAAGGGTGTTTTTTCACAAAAGGGATGGTCAAGCAAAGGGGCCACCGGGCCATTTCCCAAGTCTATCCAACGTCTTTCAAAAAATGTGCGCTCGATTTCGCCTGTGCGCAAGGACTCCTTTGGGGGCTCATCCTTGTGCTTGATGGCCCGGAACTCGGCGTGGGCATGTTGGCTTGGGTGACGACCCCAAACACTGACGCTAACGTCCCCAGCTGCGGTTCCGGTTTGGGTTTAATGGCGGGTTTGCCTTGCGTCCAAAGCGGACCTGTTGCTTCATGTTGGTGCACTGGAGTCAGAGCTTTGGTGATATTATAAACTATCACTCCCTGTTCTTCAGAGCTTTTGACCCATCGGTGCTTCACGTGGGTGTCATTCTTTTGGCCCAAAGGAAAGACCCTCTGGATGCTTCCCACGATTGTGGACCCTGCAAAACGGCTAGAAGCACCGTTCAAAAGGGTGAACCTTCGATTTCCACGGAGGATTGCAACCGGGTCATGTGCACCACAAAAAAACTCGCGTGAAGCCAATTGGCCTTCAACCACGGGCGGTCCAAAAAGTGGATGCGTTTTTTGGGCCCTCTTAATGGGTCCATTGGGACGCTTTCGTTTTGACCTATCCTCATAATATGGAGATGTGTTGTTTTTCAGGTGAGCAGCGCCATAAACCCTGACAATACAAAGTAGTAAGGGGGGGGTGTCCTATAGAATCCCCGCGAAAGCCAAAACGCAGGCCGCGAAAGCTTGCGAAAGCTTATCGCGAAAGTAACCAAAGAAGGTCCCGCCGCGAAAGACCCGCGAAAGCCTGCATGCTGTGTGACGGTCCGCTGCGAAAGCGTCGCGAAAGCAATTCTAAAGAAACCAAAGCCCGCGAAAGCAAAACATGGATTCGCGAAAGAATCGCGAAAGGGTCCGCGAAAGCAAGTTTATAGAACCGCTTGTTACACAAGAGTATTTGGCACGGCTCAGGTGTGTTTTTGTTGTTTCTCTGTTTAGTCAATTGGTTGCTTGCTTGTTTGCTTGGTTGGTTGGCTGGTTGGTTGGCTGGTTGGTTGGGTGGGTTTGGTTGCTTGCTGGGTAGCCTTCAGCAACACTTGGCCGTCTGTTTTTCTCATTATCCGGGCCAGTTTTTTTGGGAACCTTTGTTTTTTTGCTTTAAGGGGAAACCAAAGGGGCAACCATCATGGTTGGGGTTCCCTATTTAAAGACACCAGGGCTGACGCCTCAGACGGCATGTGCAGGCACGGCACTGTCCATGTTCAAGGACTGAGGGTGGTTCCTCCAACGTCCGTAAAGAAAGCAGCATGCAGTCGGTGCATCGCTAAGATGGGCGCAATGCAGTCCTCCAAATCGGGCTTCACCTTAGGCAAAAACGGCAGCCCTCAGAGTTGCGGGGAATTCGAGTTTTAGGAAGCCTGGGGATTCCAGCTCATTTCCTGCTGATGGGACGAGGTCACCTGCATCTCCCCAGCCCTCGCCTTCGCTGAAGAGTCCGTGAACTCCCTGAACTACGCGCAGAAGGCGCCCGCTTGCTCGCGCTCGCCGGTCCCAGGGTGTGGGGCCGGGGGGGCGGAGGTTTGGCGGAGTCCCATTACGTCTTCTTGAAGGGTGGCTGCAAACATCGCCTTTTCGCCTAAGTTGAGGTTCCCTTGGTAGGGGTGATGTTTTGAGAAATGTATAGCGAACCCTTGGAGTTGGCCGCGGAGTGTGTGTCGGTCACAGGTTGAGGCGATTGTTGACCTCTCAAATGGGATCTCTAAATATATTTACATACTGTTCACTAAGTATTGGTGCTTCGAAAAATTGGGATTGGGCGCCAATTCCTCCAGGTGGTTTCCATTTGGTTTCCCTTTAACAAAATCAAAGAAGACGTCTCCTACTTTGAGAAACCGCAATATGTGCTATGTGTTGTTTGGTTGAGGGAACACAAGCACAAAAAGTGAGCGACCCTTCCTGCCCTGGACGGCCACCGGGCATGGGTTTCTCTGAGCACGGAGAGCTGGCTGCCCTTTCTTTTCTCCCGGGAAGCCCCCAATGAGGGTCTTCTGCGGCTTCCTTGCAGAGGCCCTCTTGCGAGTTGACGTCCAAACTGAGATTGCACTGACCGCCAATCCACTCAAGAAGCAAGAACATCTGCGTTTTGAGGTTAGCCAAACACCATTGGGCTTACTAATTTTAGATATGCCCATCCAAAGATGTCAGTATATATGTCAAGGTTCACATTGCAGGTGTGCCCATTTAGTTTGTTGGGGACAAAAGATGTAGTTGGACTCCCAGCAGGGCGGAGCTTTGAGGCAGAATGTAGAAGTCTGAACTTGTACGAATTTTAAATTCACCTGCACTGGAAGCCCCCGGCAGCCCCCAATGGATCCGCGTGCTTAGGGTTGTTGATAACCCGTAAGGTTACTTCTTTTTTTGGGGCTGGTGGGTGTCCTTTGGTTGGGGCCAGATCAAAACAATTTAGTACTGTACAGCAGACTAAATATGACACTCCTAGCATTGTGGTTTTCCAAGTACCAAGTCGGTTTGGGGTGCCTTGGTAGCATCCCTTGAACCCCATAGTGCCAAGGCAGATGAAGCTTACATTCCCAGACCCGTGGGTTGCAACCCTCTTTTCATTTTTTTGACAGAGGAAACACCCTTTAAAGTCAACCTTTTTGCAAAAGGGTGCCCTGTATGTTTTTGTCCCTTGGGTTCCCTTGCGTTTTCCATTGGGTCTCCTTCGTTTTCCAGTTCAACCAGAGAATGGCCAAGTTTAAGAGGAAAAGTCTGGCCAAGTGTAGTCACCACAGGTGTGGATATTTGCGTATTAAATTCTTTTTACCCTGGCTGGTAGGCAGTGGATCTCCCTGGAAGCAGGTTTGACTGTTGCTCAACCTGTGCCAACGGCCATTCTGGGAAACGTCAAATGGCCCTTCTTGTACGGTAACGATGCATATTGGTTCGAACGGGGCATGTAAAGCTTTGGCTTCCTTTCAGTACTTGAAGCCCGGCTTTGCGACTTGTCCAACAACCAAACTTTCCAACCTTTGCACTTTTGTTGTCTTCGTTCAGTGGCTGCGACCAAACCCAATGTTTGGACCGGCTTGCCAATCGTTTTGGGGACAGACCTGAATGAGACTCGCGAGTGAGCACCCGGTGAATCCGTGCGCGGACCAGGCCATGAACATCCAAAATACCCCTGTCCTCCAGCTGGATGTGGCGACCTCAGACTCACAGGGCTCGTTTCCATTTGCTTTGTGTTCTTTGAGAGTTCCCTGTATGTAAGTGCAAATAATTCAAGTGGCTGTGAATTTGAATAGGAACCTCCCTCAAGAGTAGCTGGCGGGATACAAATCTCCACCTGAATGATGTCGACCAGACGGTCGTCGGTTAAACCAGGGTTCCCTAAGTCCCCCTCTCGGTTGGTTGAACATCGCCTTGTTGGCCCGTCATCATCATCAGCATCATCATCGTCATCATCATCACCACTCTCACCATCACCGTCCATCATCATCACCGTCCATCATCATCAACATCATCATTGTCATTCGCCTCATCAGCATCATCATCTTCATCAGCATCATCAGTTTCATCCTAATCATCATCATCAGCATCATCATCATCATCATCATCATCATCATCATCATCATCTTCATCATCATTGTCCTCCTCATCATAGTCCTCCATCCTCCTCCTCCTTCACATCAGCAGCAGCAGCAGCTGCTGCAGCTGCAGCAGCAGCAACAACAACAACAATGTGTTTTGTTGGTACCCTTTTTGGATTGCCAATGGAAGGAACCCACCCAATATAATTAGGGTTCAGAGACAGACTCAACTTCGCTATGTTTCCCCTTGTTCAGTGGTTTGAGCTTGCCTTTTTGGCCTATGTTCAGTGACTTTCTTAAAACACGGCAAGACCTTGCAAAAGCAACATACATGGCATTTCAATTAAACCTACAAAAGTCTAGCACCCGTTTGATCGGGGGGCTTGGAGCAACCCAGACACCTAAATCCGTTGGTTCCCGTCTAGAACCAACCAAAAGGCCGAGAAGTCTGAGTCGCAAGGAGCAGCAGCGGGTGCTGCACGAGCTGCGCTCGGAGAACGCCCAGCTGCGGAAGGAGCTGGAGGGGTACAAGCAAGCCCGGGACGCCCGGCGGTTTTCCTCTTGGGAGCTCCCTCCAAAACGGACAGAAGACGCCTGGAGCTTGTTGGCCTTCTCCTTCTGCCTTCAATAAATCGCGGCGTCACCTGGCTCGCATCTGACTCTGTTCCATATTTGGTCCCTATGCAAACAAATGCTTGTTTTGGAGTTTGGAGACCCCAATTCAGAAGGCTTCTGAAGTCCAAAGAAGAAACCAACGAAAAACAGAAAGCAAAACAAAGTGGAGGCTGGGGCTTGGAGACTCCAACAAGGTTCTCCGTACTTCCTTTTTCTTTTGTTGGCAGGGGGGCGGGGGCATTGCATTTCGCGAGTTTCCTTGCTATGGTTCATGTTCGCGGTGTTTATCGGGAACCTTGTGAAATGGCTCGCAACTGGAAAAAGGGCAACCGGCAACGAACGAAGCGGGCCGCCTTTCTCAGTTCCGGGGTGTTTTGGGGTGCCTTTCTCTAGGGCTCAGAACGCCTCAAAGGTTTCGCACGAGATTTCGGGGTCGGTTTCGCAAGTTAGAAAGCCAAGTTGAAACATGAGCAGGGAGTCGTGTAGGTTTTGGGCGGGGTTTTGGGTGGTTTTCGGGTGTTTAAGAATATCCTGGATTCGTTTTTCAAAGTCAAGCCCATTTACGCCTGGGGTACCAATGATTGGCTGGGAGCTCGGGGTTCTCATAGGGGGAACGCCAAACGGGGTGTTGCCCTGTGTTGGTTTTCCCTCAAGGCTCAAACCGATTTGCTTGTCCCTCTTAGGCAAATCCAGAGGATACAGACCGGCCAAACTGGGAGGGGGGGGAGTCCCATGAGTAGCCCGACCGAATTTTGGTTGGGCGAGTACATGCTTCTCATTTACGCCTGTGTTAGGGGTTACCCTTTTGGGGGGGGGAGCGCAAATTCGGGTGTCCATCGGCAGACCGGTGGATTCCACAAAAAAGACAGACAAGAGCAACATGACATCATTGGCCCAATTTCAAACTTCGCCTTTTGAGTCAGTCTAGGTGGTGATATTCGGGGTGGCAATATAGGCCCCACTGTGGCTTTGTGATTCCACTGTTCCCACATTTGTTGTCTCTAAATGGGCGAACCTCAAGTTTGGGCTTTCCTTTGTTGCGGCGAAAAAGTACCCTCAAAACATATGTCATATGTCGCCCTGGTTCAGCCCGGTTGCATGAATCTGGTGGATTGATAAGAGGAGTGGTTCCCCAAAAGTGATCCAGAGTTCCTCTGAAAGGGAACACCTCTTATCAATCAAACAGGGTTTACTAAGTGCATATAGATTTGGTGTTCGGTCTGATGTGCAAAGAGAACTCTTGTTTGGCTTACCTGTTGAGTTGGACCACTTGAAAGTGTTTGTTGAGAGGGGCAGAAGGGCAGGGCAGAATTCCCAAGTTCGCACAGGCTCGACGTTGTCGTATGGGGTTCCAGCTTTACAGGGATGATAGCAACACAACCTCATTTTTGTTGTATGACCATCTAAGCAACCTGTGAAAGGGGTCAGGGTAAGACCAATAGAACACCGTAGTGGAACAAATGTTGGTTAACTAAACGTCAATGGCAAATGGGGACCCTGCGGTTCAATTTCCTCGCTTTGGATTCAACTGAGGCCGCCACTTTGGGTCTTTCGAGCCCTCGCGTGCGCCCGCAGATTCGAGTCGAGACGTATTGCGGGTGTGCTTTTCTAGGCTCCAAGCTTCGACCAACCGCGTTTGTATTCCAAGGGTAGCCAACAATGGTTTGTCGTTTTTAGCACCCCACATTGGTGGTTTTACGTTTGCAATTTCCTGTAAACAACACAAAAAAGGGTACCCTCAAAAAAGGTTCTGGAGACTCAAATGTGATTCCTGGTTCTTGAGGAGAATAAGACTTGCATAGCCCGACACAACTGTTTTTTTTGGTCGACAATGCGTACGCATCCCGGTGAACTTTTGTAACGCTAGCTGGGGTTTCCTCCCAACTATGTCATATTTTTGTGCAGACGAAATATGATTCAGAATCTGAACATATGTTTTTCTCCGTACCCCTTGCCAAGCTACACAAACGGGCACATGAAAGCAAGTTGCCAATGCCAAGGGAAGACATGACCTTAAATGGAACAATTGGGGACAGGTATGCGTCTGCAAAGGAAGCCGGGTCCCCGAAATGTGCTGCCTTTGGTTTCCCATTGCTTCCAACCCAAACACGGTACCCTCAGAAAACGACACAACCGCAATAGGGCGGGTCTTTTGTTAGTCCCATTTTGTTTGGTTTCAAGGGAAAACCCGCAAAACACAAGTTTTGGGGTCCTAGGTGTTTTACACTTTTCACTTCCGGACATAGGGTCTGCAGTTGTGTATTTTTGTTTTTGGACAGCTGGCGAACAACAGCCAATAGAAACTTAAGGACTACACAAGTCAGTTTTAAGTGATTCCTATGTTTGATTTGCAAGGCTTTAATTTGAACTATTTTGGATTTGATATGAAAGTGGAATTGTGTCGCACGTAGGATTAATTTGAGTTTAATGAGGATTTTTCGGAGAATCTATGTAAGGAGAGACAAGGTTGTTGTTCTTCGAAATTAGAGCCTCCAATGCTCAAAGTAGGTGTTAAATGGGGATTACCTTCCAGGTATGTGTTATTCCAGATTTAAACTTCTAGTTTGCAAGGGAAGCTCAATTTCAGTTGTATGGGTTTGCAACGTTTGAAGCTGCAAGGCTTTAAGTTTAAGTGTGATTTCGTTTCGAATCGAGTAAGAATTATTATTTGGAATCGGATTCCAATGGGAATGTCTTTCTAAGTATGATTTTAATTAGGATTCTATTGTAGCTTGAATGAAGCTCATAAAGGACAAGCCGGTTGTTTCTTCCAATGTGCATGCCCCTTGATAGGAGTGAACCACAGATACAACTCGAGGAAGCTGTAATCCTGTAGGTTTAAATAGGATGTTAATTAGAAGTCAATTAAAGTTATCGTTAAAGTAAGCAGTTGTTCCTTGCATTTTAAATCGAATCTAACAAGAAAAGACAAGCGGCTCCTTCTAATTGCCTGCCGCTTTATATAAAGGAGACAACAGCCACTAGAGAATCAAGGAACGTGCAGTTTTAGTTCTATTGGTTTGCAAGTATATTTGCATGTGCTTGCATATTAGCTAAAACCCGACACATCTTCCACAACGTGCCCAATCCCTGTTTGCTGCCCTCTATGTATATGTATAGGACACGCCCCTGACCGATGAATAGGAGGGTGTCCACCTTTAGAGAGGACCTTGCGTTTCAGGGGAGCACCTTTTGATGCACCCTTGAGGTCCAGGCTAGGCACCAAGCCACTATGTCATTTTGTAACACAACCAGCACGTGTTGTTTATTGTTTGCTGGCACAAAAGTATGCGTCTGCGCTTGTGGCTAGACTTGAACACTCTTGGTGCGAACAAAAACACGTTCATTCACGGAAACTGGCAATGTGACCACTGACCACGAAGAAACACATGGGTACTGCCTGCAGTTTTTTTGCAGAAAGTCATTTGTCCAACCCAGTTTTATTGGAAACTGATGATGTTGCTCCATGGGACGGCATTTCACAAACACTCATTGACTGACTAACCTGTCTGCACAAAACACAACGTCGTAGGCTGGTGTCATGAGCTGCTCTGGCTGCCTGGGAAGCGAACCCTTCAACCACTAGCTTTCCAGTCATGAACATGACCTGGGGTCTTTACAAGCGGACTGTCTTCCAAACCCCTTCTCTTCTGTCAGCCTTGTTGATAACAGAGTATCTTTTTTTTGAAAGCTTCCTCTTCGTGCTCCTTCCGTTGGGGAACAAACCAGCTGATCTCGTTTCGGTTTCCCGCCAGGAAGCAGCGGCTTCGGTCGCAGGCCGTGCTCAGTTCGGAGACGTCCAGCTCTGTCTCCGTATTTGTTACCCTCCCAGTGGGTTGCGAGTGCTCGTTTTTCAACTTGTTTTGGAGGTGCCCCCTCACATGGAAGTCTACTAAAAGCCTGGGATGTTCTGTTTGTGCGGTATATATAGAGGTATATGGCACAGTTGGAAAGTATCAGTTTCTGTGCAGATGTGGGCCGAATCCTCCTGTTGCACTTGCCTGTTGTTTGCAAATGTTCAATCCTGCAACATCCTGCAACTTATCATGAAACCCAAAAAGGAGTCTACTAGAAAGGAGATTCCTCAACAAATGAGGGTTTTCGGGGATCCATGTGACTCTACAGGTGAGCAGGGTTTGGAGGTCCATATCCCACAAAAGATCAACGAAAACACTGGTTGTGTTTGAGCCGCTGGGAACCTCAACGGCCCATGGACGCATGATGTTAGTTTGACAAACCCTGGTGAAAGGCAAGCTGTGTACTCACTGATTGTCCCTTGTCAGCTACTACAGCATATTTTGACTGTAACTGTTTTTCTTCTCCAGCGTGTTTGTTCCCCTGCTGGATTGATTGAAAGGGAAATCTAAAGAAAACAACAATACAAACAACAACACAATATGATTTTCGAGACAATGATTCGGAGCCATTGGCCTGACAAAATTATTTTGTGTACCAGGGTGGCTCCGAACCATTCCTTTGGACTCGCCCCGATCAGGCCTTTGGAGCCTTCATAATGTTTAGGGGGACCGGCCTGCGCAATTTGGTAGAACGAGATGAAGGATCCCTACAAAGTCACTTGTGCCAAAATCGCAAACGGACGAAACATTTTTTTTGTATGGCATACATGGATGGCCCTCCAAAAGTATTTTAGATTTTCAGGTGGACTAAATATGAAGCAGGATCTGAACATATTAACTTTGGGAGTACCACCAATGTCGGCCAAGGCCAAGTCATGTTTTTTTCCAGACCCCCGGTTCAAGCGTCAACCCGGGCAACAGCCCGAGTACGTTCAGCACCCAGGTTTAACTTTGATTGCCATGTTCAAAACCCGCTTTGACCTTGCGTGTACGCGCAAATGTATGTACCAGAAATGCACTCCTAGGTTGGTAGTCCCGCCAGTCCAAAGCAGAAACTGCGCTTGCACGTCAGGGCCAGTTCTTTTCTCTCTGTGGGTGCATGCCCCGCCCAGTTCCCATTCCCTTTTGAACAAGTGTCCCTTCAATTCTCAACCCCATAAAATGGGCGCTGATTTTTCCCCAAAATCCACTGGGACCTGGGCGCCCTTTGCCGCGCTAGGCTCGGACATCCTGGAGGCTTCCCCTGCCTCGGCCATCACATCCGACGCGGCGCTGTCGGCCTCCCGGGGCCGGAGTTTGCCCCCGGACTTCGCGCCACAGGCGGGGCGAAAGCGCCGAGATTTCTCTCGGGTCTCCTCGGTTTTGGGTTGGACGGAACGGCTGGCAAAGACAGGTTTGGTGATCTAGTTTACTGCAAGTGAGCAAACCAGCCAAATGTTGCATTTTCGGATGGGCTACATATGAAACTGGATCTGAGGATACGTTGTTTGGAGTCCACAGTGCCCTGGCTAACCCCCTCCCATGGTTTCCTCCAATCAGCAAGGCCTTTGTGATGGTAACAGTGATGATGAAGAGGAAGAGGAAGAGGATGAAGGCAATGAAGATGAGGAGCAAGATGCAAAGGAGGAGGAGGAAGGGATGATGGTGGTAAATGCTGAGGATTATGGCGCTAGTGAAGAGCATGAAGGTGCGGATGATGAGCATCAAGGTTATTATCGTCGTCATCATCGTCATCATCATCATTATCATCGTCATCATCATCAAGCATGACGACGTGCTCCACCGATTTTGGTGGATTTGAGCATTTGATGGGCCCCTTTACTTGAAAGTGAGTTTCCTTTGGTGTGATGTTTGCAGGCTGGACATTGATAATTCATCATGTGACACTGCTGAGAAAGTTGCAGGCGTGCGAAACGACGCAACATTGCACATGTGCGTGGGTGCCTGCGCGTCCGTGCCCGCGGGTGTGTGTGTGTGTGTGTTGCTTGTGTGTTGCTTTCTGCTGAAGTCAGCATCCAAGCGAGGTTGGTTGGTTTTCAGACGCATCCTTGAAACCACCCCAAAACGCGTCCTCTTGTTTCAGGAGAAGTTGCCATCTAGTTTCATGCTACGCGCCAGGTTCCGCGCCCCCCACCACCAGTGAGCCGGAAAACTCAGAGAAGGAGTGGCGGATCCAAGTTGTGGTTGCAAGTCTACTTCTGCTCCATTCCGCGACCAGGGTCGCTCCACATCGCATGGCCAGGCGACAAGGATAGCAAATCGTATTTGGGGTCTTCTTCGAAACTGCTTCAGAAATTGTGTGGCAGACATGAAACATGAACCAGACTGATTTCTGTCACCCCAGATTCAGATGGGCCAAGCTGTTGGGTCCCGTTGGTGTTCTTTTTGTTGTAGCCTAATTAATAGACCCTGACAGATGGGTCTATTTGCATAAGTAGCGAGCTTAGATACAGGAAACGCAAGCTCACCCAAGATGAAGGTCTTTGACTACGTTGTGGTTCCCTATTTCTGTTTTGAGAAATAGATAGGTTCTAGGGTCAGGAATGCATTTCCATCCCTTACTTTTCATGTTTCCGGACTCATGAACAGGGTTCCCTGCGGTTCCTAATATGGGTCCGTATTTTGTTAAGGTAGCGTAGCGAAGGGAAGTCAGCGTCTGGACAGCCGAATTCTTAAGTGAATGGTGGGGTGAGTTTTACAGGGAAACCATAAGACACCTGGCATTCGATCTCGGGCCAGTCACAGTGTCCGCCCTTGATCCTTTGTGTTGTGGAGAGACCTATGTAATGCCTTGCGGGCATGTGTCCGAAAGTTCCACGCACCGGGCAGTTTCAGTCGAACCCATCAAATGTTGGAAAGCTTCCTGTGGTTGCTGTCTCTTAAGCATGGCATATCATGGCATCTTTTGCAGAGGTGATCCGAGAAGGTGACCAAAACAAACTTGTACAGTGTCGGTACGGTGTCTTCTAGTTCTAGCCACACCTGGCCTATTTGCAGGAATCCTTCTCCTCAGCAAACTCGAAAAAACGGTGGCTTTTGCTCAGAGCTTCTGAGCAAAGGAATCAACCAGGTCTTGAAGACTCAGTCCTTGGAGTTCTCCCTGTTTCCTTGGTGAATGAAACACCAAACAAACTACCTGCTGGACTATTCGGCAATGGTAGGGCCCTCATTTTGCACGCAGGAAGGCAACCTTTGGGACCGTGTTCCCTTGGTGTATTCCCCACTAGAATCAACCCTTAGACTTGGTTTCCATCCGATGAAAATTATATCGTGCCGATGGACGCCATCCTACCTTGCCGAGGGCTGGAAGCATAGTTGAAACAGCGGCGCTGGCAGCTGGCTTGTTCAAAGGCAATCCTCAATCCTTCCCTTTTCTTGCAGAACCCTTTTGTGGTTGTAAGGGTAGAGGATTAGGATTAGCCATCTTTTTCGACTGGCAAAAAGCCGCCCAGGCCAATACTCTGTACATAGAGGCTTTATACTGCAGGAACATTCGGAGTCCATCCCAATGCGCATGGGAATCATTTGGGCGTGCGGTGCATCTAGCGACTCCTGGCGGCGGGGAAACTCGTTTGGATTGCTGTTGAAACCAATCGGGGCAGAGTTGCTGCTTCCTTTAGGAATGACCAAATACCCGCTTTGTTTGAGGCATGATGTCAAATGATTCCAACCCTTGACTAACAAGGATATTTTTTAAATATACCCCCAAACCAAGTTATAGAGAGGGGGTTAAACCACGTTTAGGTGGACAATGGATTGGTGGAGGCGGTATGCTTGTCCTTTTCCGTGCCGGCTTTTTGCCCCTGTGCCGACCTTGACTGGGTCTTGAAGTCTTGATGTCTTGGGAAGCTAGTCGTTTTCTGCAACACATCTTAGATCATGGGGCTAAAGCGATATATTGGAAGACCCACTATCCTTCTATCGGGTTTCTCGCCGAAACCCCGGGTGCGATTTGCCGTCCGCGCCCAGGCGGTGTCACTTCGCCCAACTCCGCGCGGGGGTCGGAGGAGTGGGCTCCGGTTTTTGAACGATCCCAAGCCCTCAGCTTTCCAATCCAAATAATCCAAATGGAGTCAAAGGATCCTCAGCTTGGTTTCAAAGGGAGACCAAAAGATGTTGCTGCGTCTAGCCCAGTGGATTGCTCGGGAGTGTTTTAGTCGGAGTTCAAAAGGAGGAACCCGGAAAGATCCCAATGAACCAGCCCTCAATCCTTTTGCTTGGATGGACATTTGCTAGGGTGGACAACTTCTGGAATTTCCATCTTGGGCCACTTTTGTCTCTGCCGGCGGCGGTTTGGGCAAGCTGCTTGCCAGGGTTGACAACGCCCCTAGCTTGGCTTTTGCAGGGGCCTTTTCAAAGGGTACCCACTTTGAGGGTACTGGGAGCCAAAAGAAGCTCAGCCATTTTGGAGGCTCCCCCATTGTATGGGTTTGTGTCAGAAAAGGAGGACCCTCTTCCCCCGGGTTTCCCTTGAAAGCAACCCCTTTTACTTTCCTACCTAGACCACTGAACGAAGGAGCTCGGAAGTGGTAGCTGGTAGCAGCACCTGCGTGGAGCAATCAGTCATGAAGTCCTGGAGCCCATTTCGAAGGCCCGCCCATTTCCTCGTTGAGATCTCCAAATGGGTGTCTCTGCTTTTTCGAGGTGAATTTTGGGGCGTCCCCAAAAAAACGGCTCCCCAAATGCGTGCAAACTGTACCCATTGGTTGGCTCTAAGTGATTGCTACTCACAACCTTGTACCTAGGGAAGTACATTTTGCATATCTCTGAACTTGCGGGGCTGTGTCACTGCCTTGCCAAGAGCCGCGGGTTTCCTTCAGCCAAGGGGGGGTGGCCCTTTCTCCGCTATTCCCTTATTGAAGATACTTGGACAAGTATGGCCCCATAAAGTCAGTTACAATCAAGACTTGGATGTGTGCAGGTTAGTAAGCTACATTGCCAGTCATAAATAGGTGCAGCTATGTGCCCTCTCGATTTTTTGGAATGTTTCTCGGGTAGAAAATGTGCATGGTTTATCCCATGGGGCTTAAACATCAAACCAAGTTCGGCAACCTCATCCTATCATGGCCAAGTCTTGGGGCTCCAAACGCCGTTTGATTCGCGAGAACTTGCTCGCTCCGCGAACGGCATTTGGGAAGCAGGTGGCTTCCTGTGGATCAATATGTGCCATGGTAAGCACCGATTCGCAACATGGGGTTGCGGGAGTATAGGCTCAACAGATGGTGGCCCAAAAAGTGGGCTCCTCCCCCCCCACCGCAAAAACGAGTATCCTCACAACCAGATGCGGTCCATCAACCATGAAAGCAATGTTCTTGATGGTCTGTTCTTTTTGTTGGCAGCCGGGCACGCACAAGCAAGGAAGCATTAGAGGCCTTTGAACATAATCGGAAGCATATTCTATTGTTCGCGGCTGGGAAGCATCAGAACCAGCAGCATGCCAGAAGCATTTCATGCGGCCGCTTTGGCCGACGCCCGGCTCGCTTCGCTCGTTTGGCGCGGTGCTGACATGGATGTGCTGCGGTTCCTTGCCAAAGGCGAGAAGGACGATGCCGGACCACCCAGCTCAAGGCAGTGTGTTGGAGCCCTTTCTTGCATGGCTTCATTCATTTGTGACAGTTGGTGACCAAAAGAACCACACTTTCAAAGCGAAAAGGAAGGTTGCTGGTTACCTTCTATCGGGAAAACTGGGATCCTCAGGGTTGGTTTTAGGTTCGGGTATTCTTTTTGGGGTGGTGAAATTAGGGAAACCAAGGGGAGAAACACCTTTTTGGGACTGCTATGTTAACACACGCCGTTGACGTTGTTGTGTTTGCAGTGGCGGTTGACACCCGCGACAAACAAACCACAAGTCAATTTCCAGATTTCCGCTTTGGGCTGGCATTAAGCATCATTTTTACGGGCCCCATTCAAGGTGAGTTTCCCTTCGTGGGGGTGCTGTTTTCAAGGGAAGTACTTGATTCCCATACGTGGTGTTTGCAAACTGGTGTTGGGCAGACCCTTCCAATGTCATTTTGACTGATGCGGGGAATTGCTGGAAACCTGCAGCGGACCTTCGTTTCCTCGTTGTTGGGCATAGGGAGGGGCGTTAGGCCTTCCCTCCCCAGAATGGTTATCTCAGAGCCCTTCTAAGAGCCCCTTCGGAACCTGTACTGGGTTGTGGCTTGGGGAGCCTCTGGCTTCTTCCCTATGCTTTGGGGCGACCCTCATCGTCCGAAACGAACTGAACTGGATACTGATGGTCCCCCTGTCGGATTCGATTCGTGTCGTCGGGGCCCCAACAAAGCCTCTAAGCCAATGTTTCACAGAGTGACATTTGGATTAGTGGCGACACGGCGATCCTCTGTTCTCTGCGGCCGAGGTCAAGCATCAAACACCCATGCATGCAGTTGCATGCTGCATCTGCCTCTACATTGCCATCTTGCTGACCGGCATATGTGCCTTTACGCAAGTTCTGTTTTTGTGAGACGGCTTTGTGGGTAATTATGAGGGACTCTTTCAATGTTGGGACCGGAGATTGTAGACTTCCTTTCGATTTCGAGTTGAATCCTTCCTGTTGTCACAAGTGGTGCACGTCCTTTTCAGGCTACCTTATGCTTGACAACATGTCACGTGCCCTAGTTCATTCCTCCCGTTATGGAATCGGTCCTAAGCTTGTCCCCCGCAATATGATGGCAAAGGACAAGCGGTTATCTTACGCGAGGCGAGCTATTTGTCTGGCAGTTCAGTCTTTCAAGGGATCTTTTAGGAACCAGCTGGCAGCTAGGATCACGACTGATTTTACAAAGACATGGATGAAAAGTGAGGGGTCAGCTGTTTTGATCCAGTCGGTGCCATGCGGAGGCTCGCGCGTCGAGGAAACAAACGCCATCCCTGATTTTTGGCCTCATCTCCGTAGCCCCTTGGTGATTCTGTGGTTGAGTCAAGGAGTTCACACTGTGGGGTGACGATCCAGATGGCTATAGCTTCAAGCGAACTCGGCCGAACATCCTAGTAAGCGGCAGTACTTTCATAGGCTTGCTTGCCTGGCTTACCTTTTGCCTTTGTGATTTTCCTTCCCTTTCCTTTTCCAGCTGATTACCTTTCGCAGGTTGTTGAAGTCTAGCCTTCTTTTCTTGCTGGCTCTCATCTCATGAATGAGAATTTCAATGCATTTGTGAATAATCCTGGGAGCCACAAGGGGTGGTTTCTGGGGCTCGCTCCATACAAATCGAAGTTCCAGCGAGTTTGGCTGATTTTCCAGAAGCCGAGGCGCTGACCGCCTGGTGGCCAATGAAAGCCGACTGGGCGAGGCGCAATGGCCAGCTGCGGTACTGGTGGCGTACTGGTGCCTCTCGGATGGACAAGCGCCCAATGCCAAGGGAGGCGCCCCAAACGTGGGGTGAATTTGGTTTTCCGGCTTCATAGGGGTGAGCTGAAACATGGGGTGAGGTCACTCAGTCTTGTCTTGAGATCAACCCCAAACCAGGGTTTGAAGGGGCGTTAAAGCACACTGAGAAACGGGTGCTGACTCTGTCTGACTTTGGCTTCGAGTGGTTCCCCTCCCTTCAGCCCTTGGAAAATGCGATGTGGGCTTATGTTATTTGAAGCTAGCTGTTTTTCAGGTTGATTTTTAAGTGATACCAAGAAGCACCATCATTTTGTGGGTGCCCTGTATTGACACACCAATTAATCAACTACTTCCAACAACGAAAGCCCGGGAAGGTGCAGTCAATTTAGGCAGGTTTATCGTTTCATACTTGCGATTGAGGGCAGCCATCATAATGTTTCAATCAAGGGAGCGTGAGAAAAAGGAATCCCAAAAGGGGCAAGCATACTGCAACTGTCCTCCGTCCCGACCGGTCAAAACCGATCTGCACGTTGCTCTCTTTGTTTCAGGGTCTCAACCGGCCGTCCACTTGCCGGCGGACTGAGGCTGGATGATTTTCCTGCGGCTGCGCAACCCGGCATAGAATCTAAGGGGAGGGAAAGCATCGGAGTATCCAAACCCACCCGGGTCTGCCTATTTTGTGGCGAGCTTACCGATTTAAAACGAGGTCATCATGATGTAGGTCCTTTACTTGGGGAACCGTTTGAACCACTATTCCACTTGTTTTCTTTTTTGCAGATTTTGCAGATGCGTGGATTCTCTGCAGTTCCCTTCCAAGCAACCCCAAAAAGTCTGATTTGAGATACGGCAGTTACGGACGCAAAACATAGTCTTCGGTTGGTTTGGGGAGGACGAGAAGGGGGACAACCCAAAGTTCCCACAACAAGCATGGGGATGGCCCCCAATTGTCGCACGGGTTTTGCCTCTCAATCATGAAGATTTCGGAAACAGGTCTTGAGCCTCATGAGCTGTTTCTTTTGGCTTTGCTTGTTCCTTTTCATGGTTGGTGTACTTTTGAGCTGCGGTGTGTTTTCATGGTTTCGCCCCATCACGGAGAGAGGGGTGTTTGGATGCGTCTTTGTGAGCTGTGGGATAAACTAGACTACAAAGCAGTACAGGGTTGAATTTGATGCTCTTGGTGTGTGTTGTGGCAGGGTCCCCACCAAACCAGGAGGCCGAAATACCTGTTGGTTTGTTCTTACGAGGAATGAGCCGTTTAGTCCATGGTTCACATATCAAAGTGCTCTGACAGAGCCTGTCTGATATATGACAGAGACCATCTCCGATTTTGCTTGTGTGCATATGCACATGTTGGTGTCAAGCTTATTATGTTTCTCTGATTTATGCTCGAGTACAAAGCCACCAGCTACCAATTGGGTGGCTGGTCCTGTTTGGGGCACCCCTCAAAAAGGGGCGCAACGGCTTTCCATGTGGTTTCCGTTCAAGACCACAAAACAGAGGTACCGCCAAAACGACGCCCAGAAAGCCGAAATTGGACTTTATCCATGCGGGTCCTTTGAGCTTTGAATCGCCGGGAGGGCAACCAAAAACCTGGCGCAAGCGCCCCTTAGCCCTGTGCTTTCCTGCGAAGAGTGACAGTGAGAATTGTTCAAAACCTCGTTGTTGCCTGATTGCTTCATTGAAGTCAACCCAAACCCTTAGGTCAAGGCAACCAAAGTCTTCATTTTAGCCTTGCCTTCTGAGCGGTCATCTCAGGCGGTGAGACATCGAGCACCGCTATGGATGTGTATCAGTGCCTCGAATCACAGGGTGCAACAGAGGGGGTCCCCGAATCGCAATGGTTTTCAAGGATGACGGCCTAAGGATTTCGACTCGCTTTTCGGCGGCCTGTGGAATGGTTTTATCAGCGCAAAGTTAGGTGGGTCAGTTCGTGCATGGAGACTTGACTGGCTTCGTTGACCATTCTGTAAGGGAATTACCGTGCGCGAAATGTTGGCGCATGCTGGTTGACTTGCTTGCTATTGCATGAATCTGCCTGGGTTGTTCAAAACCAATCCGAATCCTTAGCTGGGCTGTTCAAAGGCAATCCTGCAGCCTTACCATGGGCTACGAAAGGGGCCCCCTTAGAGTTTGCTTTCCAACAGGGATTCTGGATTAGGCGAATGATCTGTAATGGCTTGGTCTTGGATCCAAAACTCAGAGGTTAATCTCCGGGCAAAGAAGCCGTTACCAGGGAACCCCAACCCTGGTTTTTGTAAGTTCCGTGTGATCTGTCCATCCTGGAAATATGGTTGTTCCGCCCCAAAACACAGTTGGGGTCAAGTTGGGGTCTGTGACAAACCTGCAGCAAACACAAGGATTATGGGTTTTTGTTGGAGGAAACATCCATGGGGGAAAGGTACGCTGCTCTCAGTGAAGTGGCGCTTCTCAACAAGCATGGCTCAGTGCCTGACTCAGTGCTTGTTAAAAACTCCAAAGTCCGAAGCCGTTGCGGATTCCACCTGTTCTCCCTGCTGGTACTCGTTTGCTTATTAGTATTCTCTTCATATCCAGGGGTCCACAGATCGGTTTCATATGGTTTGCCTTGCGTCAGCCGGTTGACTGGGCAAACTGTGAAGAAGAACCGTTCCGGTTTCGGCGGAGGTGCCGCGAACCAACAAGTTGACTCAGTTTTGGCCAGGCGTGAAAGGCATGCATGAACCATTTGATCAACCGTGAGTTATGGCTTTGACTTGAGGGAAAGCCGCAAGGTGGGGGTCACTGACGTGGACTTTCATGGGGTCAAACAATTGACGCAGAACACACAAATCATCCTTTTCCGTGAAAGGACCCGTGAAAGTCCTTTAATTTTGAACCCATAAAAGAGCCCTTTTATAGACAAGAAGGCGTCAGACATTTCGATTTTGCCATCAGGGAATGATCTGGAGTCCAACTGGGAAGTTGCTGGGAAAATTATGTGCAGTCCCAAGAGAAGAATCCCTTTGCGTCTGGCCCTGTCGCAAGTAAACCAACCACACTCAAATCACTCAACCACAAAGCAATTGGTGAACACCGGTCAAACCTGGGTTCCGCGTTGCTTAGGGGCCTCCACCTTGCCAGCCAACCACAGACGGTCGTCCGGAGATCCAACCGCAGACTGCATCCAGGCTTATGTGGTCCTGCAATGTGGTCATGCCCGTGACAGCGATCGCCTCTCAGCTCAGTTCAAGCACGGTGCCCAATTACTTTACTGGCCACCGTTTTTCTCGCTGGTTCTCGGGGAATCCACTTTAGGGTTTTGGGAATGAACGGATTTTCTCAATTCGGAAACCAGTTGGATGGTTCAAAGGGGGTCGTCCATTTGCCCTTCAACTTTGTGACCCGTGCATGGAGTGTTCGACGGATTGGCTTGCTTATGAAACACGGCGGTTTCGATCACCGCCCATTTTTGCTTTGTGGCAACGCTTCCCCAGAATGGTTGCAGAGGCGTCTTCGGGTGATCGATTTACTCAAAGGCGCTTAAGTTCAGTTTGCTCACTCCACCAACATGGTGAATGAGTATCGACATGTGCTGGAAGCACTGCTATGCGTGGCTGCCAGTCACCAACCTTTTGTTAAGTTGCCCAGAATCTCAGAACAGGTGCTCATTAAAATCAACCAGCAAAGAAAGGGTGTTTTGTGCCTCCATGTCCGCTCGGCTGAGAGCATCTTGTGGTTTCCTGAACTTAGCTGCACCTGTCCTCTGATTTAAGCCAAGGGCGTTACATATTGATTCGCTTTGGCCGGAACTCAGATCAAGGGGGCCTGAAAAAGTTGAAAAGCCCAGGCGCTCGGTGCAGCTTCTTTCTGATTTTTGGAGGGGGTTCCCTGCCTAACAAATTGTGTGGTGTGGACGAGCGGTTTGGGGGGATTTGAACCCCTGGCTGGAAGATAAATGGGACACCCTGTAACCTCCAAACCACCAACCACAGAAAAGAGAAGTGCCTTGTTGTCCCATGGACATCCACCGGGGGTCTGGGAAAGGGGATCTCGTTTGAGCGAAAAAAGCACGTTTTTGTGGCATCCATCACTGGCTGGACCCTTGGCGAAAGAGCATCGCTGTTGCGGATCGGCAAAAAATGGGGGGGGGGGGGGGGGCAGGTTGAATTTGGATTGCAGAAGCGCCAGTGTAAACTTGAACATGAAGCTGCCTTTGTTGGTGTGTCCTGTAGCCAGAATCCAAGAGGCTAAGAGGGTTCCAGCTCAATTTTTGCCCAACAAGTGGTCTTGATAATATGACCATCTGGGCTGCTCAGCAGCTTTGTGGTCAACATTTTCGGCCTGCTGCCATTGGTGCCAGCCAGCCGCCGCCCCCCCCCCCCACCCACAAAGGATCCTATCGATCCTTGTTGGCCACATTAGCACATTAGCTTCCGTGCGACATCCTTGACAACCACGAGTAGGGCGGAATCTGCACTTGTTGGGAGATGGGTGAACAGCATTGAACTGGTGTTTGGGAGTGGCCCGCAATTATGAGATACAGGGCATGCTGACTGTCATTTGGATTTGTCGGTTTTGGTGTGGGTTGGAACGACCAAGAAGTAGTATGCCGCTCCTCGTGGCCCATGAGGAGCGTTGGGGTGAGTTCTCCTCCAACAAATCAAATACATAGACTAAATAAACTAAATACTGAACTTCTGAACCCCAGGTTCGCCCCGCAAACGCGTGGCAAGCGAAGTTCTTCGGCCCCGAAATTGTGGCCGAGGCAATCCTCCTCCGGCGGCCGGCGCTACTTTGCGCACAGGGCATCTTCGTGGCCATCGACCAGGTGCTTTGGCGCCTCGATTGTTTGAGTCAGCGGCGTGGAATGACGTTTTCAAAATGGGCTTGCCCAAAAAGAACGGGGTGGCCCCATTTTGGCAGGAAGGTTCCAGGTAAACTTTTGGGGAAGACCAAACCAAAGCTCGGAGTGTTTGTGGTCGACCCACGCAGATCTGACTTCATCACAATGTAGGGTGACTCGGGGACCCGAATTGGGTGTTTCCTTGGTTGGGGGAACCCCATTTTCTTTTGGAAACCGGGAAAGCAACAGGAACCCAGCTGCTTGGTCCACGGCTCACAGGCGGACGTACATCAAAGTGAACATGGCATGGGCTGCAAAATTGCTTCACACACGAAACGCCACTGGCAAGGGGAACACTCACCCGTCATGCGATCATGAATCTTGAATCCTCACTGTGGTTCCCACATGTTTATCATTGAAAGTGAGTCATTGTGAGGGGAACACAGCCAGAAACAACATCCTTTCATCTGTTTGGTTTGTTTCCATGTCTGCAAAGCCTGCGCCGGGAACTACTCTGTTTTACTGTCTTCAAGCATGATCCGCCGTTTTCACGGCTTTTGAGAGCCCAGGAACTGCTTAGCAGTCATGTTGCCGAGCTAGCTTCGCCAGCACCACGCGCAGTTCTGGATTTATCTTTCCATGGCCTTCCGCTTCACTTTGGGAGCAAGTTTGGGAGGCATGAAATGTTGCAGCGCTTCCCATGATCTGTCAATAACTCGTGTGCCCGCCAAAGAGCTCAAGGTGCCCACTGGCGTTATTGGTGAAGTGAAACCTTCAGCTGACGCGTTACTGGCTTTGTGGGGAGGCCCAGTTCTTCCGCCACAGATTCCCAGGCCTTGTTTCCGTCCAGAAGAATGACTGCCGCATTCTTAGCTTTGACCACTTTGTTCAGCGGAGCGGAGAAAACCACTTGATGCTTGGATTCGCATAGAGACCGCGCGGAGGAAACCACATGAGCGGAGGAGACGGCGCCTTTGTTCTGACCGCAGCAAAAAGTGTGTGTGATCTGGATCTGCGACGCTAGGGTTGAATGCCTGCGCCGACTCATGGATTTCAAATCGGCCCATTGTCGGCCACGGAGTCAGCGGCCGAATGAAAGGCAAATGCTCCAACCAGAAATCTCGTGGGAAGCCATGCATCAAGCGCAGTGCCAAAAAGCAAAGTCAACGTTTCGAAAATCTGATCATGATGCAACATGAAGCTCGGCAGCGAGCCACATTCGAGCTCTAACAGCTGCTATGAGGATATCTAAATGCAGCTCCTGCCGCAGATAAGATTTCCTCGTGTGTTCCCAAAAGAGAACGCACCCGATGTGCGTTTGTGTACGCGTGCCTGAGGACGGCGCCACCACGAAGACATGTGCACGAGCGTGTGTGTGGGGGGCAAACCTGTGCGCGCAACCCTGTGTTTAGTGAACATGCTGCTACCATACCCCCCCGAAATTTCTCCAAAATATGTTGGCCCTGTGTTTAGTGAACATGCTGCTACCATATCCCCCCCAACCGCCCCCCCCCCCCCCTCAACACAAAAAACACATCCCCCCGGCAAAAAGTGTTGAAAAGCGCACGGCCGTCCACACGCCGCGGTCCAACTGCTTTGGGGTTGACTTAACTGGGAGCCAGCGGATGAGTAACCTTGCCTGAATTGCACATGGGATTTCTCAACAGGGATCACTCACCCGAGTTTATGGAATTGTTTTTTGGTTCTCATTTTTTCTTTTTCTCTATATAGAGGCACCACAACGAAAGAAACTAGCCATGCCTCGTTTGAGGTGGGAGTCATACTATCCTCCATGGTTGACTTGCATTCAATCGCATTCCTTAACTCATGGCTGCTAGCGGACCGCTTGCTGCAAGCAGCGACGGCAATTGCCCACCTGCCTCTCTCTCCCTCCCCCGACTTCCCCGACTTCCCCCTTTTGGCCATCTGGGTTTTACCCTGTTTGGGATGATTGATGTGGCAAAGCGAGAGGTTGTTCTGAGGAAAGGGCGCATAAACAACCACGCTCGAAGGGAGAGGGGTGTTTTGCTCACATCTCAAGCAAAGGCACGAGAATATCTCCTCACCTGGTAGCAAGCGGCATTACGTGCTTGGTACTTTCCATATCGTTCTCTCATTTTGGGTTCCGCCTTGAACTTGCTGCACATTTTATGTTTGTGAGCTCACCTGGGGGCAAAACGAGCTGCCTCCTTTTTCAGGTTTTGGAATGTTGTATTTGCATTTATTGTGGTTGCTGGGACTGAAGGTTGGTGTCGTTTGCCTGCGGTTGCTCGAGATGGCCATGCATCCTTCAGCCCAGCTTCCTGAGCGTGTACCCTGTTGAGGCTCTGCTGATAGGCTTGCCTGAACGTTTGCCTGACTTGAATATCAAAAAAAATCATAACAATGGCCACGTGTTTGGAATTGCGACCAAACATGGGCGTTATTTTTTGGAGGGTACCTTTTTTGGTTTTAAATGAAACTAGAAGGAAGATACCATTTCGGGGTCTCCTAAAAATACAAAACACCCGCTGACATGTAGATTTTGTTGCGCATATTTTCTTGGCAGACAAGGTACGTTGACTGGCTAGGCGCCCTGGCTGGCATGGTGCGCGTCGGGTCCGTTCTGAATCTTGACAAATCAACAAGCCCTTGCCCTTGGGTTTAACCCCTATTAAAAGAATGGTTGACCCAGTTTAGATAGTGCCAACCCTGAGTTAAACAATAGTTTTTTTAATCCCCACCATTTTGGCGGTTTGGATCCCACGGCCTGGCTCATCAAATGGTTCGTTCTTTGGTGTCCATTTAGCCCCTTCCAACTTTGTACCCTAGTGCCAGGTCATATTGGTACGATTGGTGCCCTTTGCCGGTGCCCTTTGCTTTGCATTGGATTGACCATGTCGGGGAAAAGGAAACGCACCCTTTGTACCGGGCATGTTAAAAAGCCGACTTTGTGTTGGGTTGTGGTGTTTCTAGGCCCGAGGTCTTTTGTATTGGCGGAATCCTTCCCTGCAATGCAGGATAATAAGTGCGGAAACCGCATCGCGGGGCTCAGGGCATGGAAAGCACACGGCCCAGAGGCATGTTTAAGGCAAAGGAGGCAATAGTTGCACCGATATGGTGACAGGATAAAGTGTCATGACGTTCTTTGCTGGAGGTTTCTCATGTCCAGTTCATGGGTTATTGCAACATTCGGTGACGATCAGAGGCTTGTCCAACAGTTGTGCTCAACAGGCCGACATGAAAGCTTAAGCCTCCGGAAAGATGGATGAAGGCCCCACCACCCTGGCACGCCCCTTCAATCGGGGCCCGAAAAGCTTCGGCTTTGGTTGTCCAACAAAAAGGGGAAAGCATTTTGACAACTCATGAGGTCCTTTGGAGCTCTTCCGATATTGGTTTGTCCCAACCCAAACCATACTTGGGCTTTGGCCGCCCTCGCAGTCTTTGTTGTTTTTTTGGCGGAGGGAGGTTCGGTTGATACCTTACATTTTCGACACCACCAGATTTCTCATATTGATCATGGCTGTGTGGCATAGGGTTGTTGGTGCATCCACCGTATCTTCCATGCAGCTGCCAGGCAGCTGTTGCAGACCCATCCGCAAAGGACGGCTCCAGCAAGGACAATAGTCAGGGTCTGTCGAACACACCGAGCGTCCCAGTTTGGAAATGGGGACCAACCGCACTACAGCGCAGCAAGACCAGACTGCCAGCATGGCTTTTTTGGGGTTAGTCTTCGGCGTCACGACTGTAGGCTACCTGCTCTTTGGAAAGTTCCCGGTGAAGGTGATCGCCTACCTCTTTTGGCCCACCACACCGCCTCGCCCTCCAGACATGTTGTACCGGTTTTTTGAGGTGCACTAAGGAATCCAAAAGGAACACCACCATTTATGGGGATCACCTATTTCGACACAGACTCGCTTGAGTTGGGACGCCTCAATGTGGAGGGGGGGCTACTGTATTTCGTGGCCCCTCTAAAGGACCAATCCTCATCGTCGGTACAGTGGGCATAATGTACGGTTTGAAAAATTGCTCCGGGCGGTGATCTTCTTGTTGATTGTGAGTGTGGTTTTTAAAAAGAGGGGTGGAAAGGGAAATCATTTCATGGCATGATTTCCTTCTTGGAGTACCGTTTTGGGGATAATTAATTTCATTTAAACTGAGGTCTCCAAAATTTAAAATATGTTGTCTTGGGCGTTGAAACATGGCTGACAGAGTCAGAACACAACTTGTTTCCGTGTACCCGTCACACAAGGTGTTTGAGGCCCCGGGGTTGGGCTTAGCACAAGCATGAGAAAAGGGGTGGATGTCAACACCTTTTCGGTTGCCAGTTCGATTTTGAAATGCTCCCTTGCGGTTGCATTTCAGGGGAAATTTGGGGTGACAATTCGATTTGGGTTATGATGGGAGGCCTGTGTGCTTTGGACATCAACTCCCACTAATTATGCGAAAATGCTCTCATTAATTTAATTTGCGGTTTGAACATGTTGAATTGCCGAATGCTCCAAGGAGTTCCATTATATACAGGTTTTTCTTTTGCTGGCAAATGGGGGGTTCATCCCATAAGCTCGAGGGTTGAACAAGGTTGTTCACGTGTTGTTTGGTCCTTTTGGGATGAGTTTTGTGTGGTTGGTGAGGTTCCAGTGAGTGCCTGAGAACGACCGAGTTTGGTAAATCTCAAGTTGGTTCCGGGAAATCACCTTTGGGATCTCCCAAAGATATGGGCGGCTCGTCTTTTTGTGAGGGTGCCCCTTATTTGGTTGTCGAAAACAAAAACTAAAAGGAAAGGCAGTCATTTGGGAAGTGGGGGGGGTCCCCAGACACGCGCTAATTTTGTATTTTGGGGTCTAAATTTGGTTGATAATATTGATTAGGTTCTGTGTACCACATGGTTTTGACCAAGATCCAGAGGCACAGATCCATTTGACCTGCGGTTGCCCGGTGGCACGCTTGTCCTTTTGTAAAGGGTGTGTTGAATTTTCCTGGGCTTCTGAGTCATGCTCTGGGCAATGAAGGGAAGCTCAGGCCATCTCGCCGCATCTCCAGCCTGCACCATGTGCTCTTTGGGCCTTTTGCCGCGGCCTCGGACGTTCGGTATAAAGAGACTGGCCTTGAATGGGTTCCCGGTTGCCGGTGACAGGGTTCGTGAAAGGATGCATCTAAAGACGGAAGCTTTTTGGGGAGGTTGTCAACTTTTGCCAGGGCACTTGTGGAGCGCGGACCCCCACAGGCTTCGTTTTTTCTCAACACCCTCCCACACCAAAATCAAGTCGGCGGTGTTGTTTTCGCCTTAAACAAGGCCCCCCTGCAATCAAAACAACCATCCTTTCCTACCAAGAGAAGGCCAGTTGTTTGCCAATTGTTTTTGTTGTTTAAAAGGATCAAACTTGAGTCCAAAAAGTCGGCCCACCTGATATTTCCCTCCCACTTATTTGTCACCCCAATTTTCGGCTAATGGGTCCAGGTAGGGTCATATCAGACGGTTCTGACTTTGTGGCTCCCAATCTGGTCCCCGTGTGAAGGCGCCATGGAGACACTTTGGCAGGACTAAGCTTACCTTTTTAACTTGTTGCTCTTTTGGGTCTCCTTCATTTTCCTTTTAAGCCCATAGCGACGTGAAGCCTTGGGGGCTACTCACCCGCCAGGTGATTTGGTTGGGCAGCCGGGAGTGTTGCGACTTAGCTGCAGCTGAAGCCAGGCAGAGTCATACTGATCCAATTTGATGTCTTCAAACCCCACCAAAGGGTCTCCGCTTCTTTGCAAGCCTTCAAAGTTGGACAGGTTTGCCTGGTTCTTGTAGAGGGATTAGAGGGGACCACTTCTCCTCCAAACGAAGGGGAAAGCGGAAGATGTTTATTTCCAGATCGCAGATTTCTGAGGCTTGCCTCTGGGCCGTGGCTTCGTGGTGTCGCTGGCGCAGACCATAGTTTGCGAGGATCGATTCGTGAATTGCAGATGGGGCGGTCCTGGCTTCCAGCAGGGGGCCTTTTTGCTGGGAATTTCATGGAATTCCTGCAAACCATTGGGATTCTTGGGGGTTGGTTTGTTGGAGGAGGTCAGTATCCCTTTGTCATGTTCAGCCTTCCCAGACCACGCATGGCAAAGAGGATGCACAAAGCCGAGAGTGCAGCTGTTTGCATTTGTCAGCCACTTTGGAACCATGCCTGCGCTTGGGTGTGCCATCAAGTATTGAAGGATCAGAGAGACAGATAGAGAGAGATAGAGACAGAGAGAGAGAGAGAGAGAAAGAGAGAGAGAGATGTCAAATATCATGTTGCACTACTTGTCACTTGTGCATGCATGATGTACACTACCTGACTGCAGGCCTTGAGTCTACCAGGAAAAGAGTGCATGCTGGCTAACTACATTTGTGTTTGTGACAATAGAAACACTTGCACTTGCAGTAAAGTACCAACGTATTTTAACGTGGTAGCGGAGCTGAGATCCTAAACATAGGGGAGCTCCAGTAACAGCAGTAAGTACTACAACTGCACAGGCAACCACATGCCCAACTACTACGACATGTCAGGAGAACCAGCAGCAGCATCAGCACAACCAACTACAGGAGCAGACAACGGGCCCACAGCAGAGGAGACAATAGGAGCCACAACTACGGGAACAACACAGGAGCAGGAAGACGTCCAAAGGCTACACAAATACAAACTGCCACCACCGTTCTTCACTGGTGACTACTCACAGTACGAAGAGTGGCTGTTCAAACTACAAGCATACCTCGGACTCATCGACCGAGACTTCGACATGGTGCTACAACTAGCACAAGCAGCTACAAGACAAATTGAAGATGCAGACATCAGAGCCCACATACGCGACCCTACACAGGCAGCAAAAGCAGTAGACCTCTCACGAGATCTACACTACATCCTCATCAACATCTGCCAAGGTGCAGCAGCTACAGTGGTCAGACAAAACCGCTACAATGCCAATGGATGTGAAACACTACGGCTTTTGCACAACAGGTTCAGCCTACCAGTAGGAACACGCAGTGTTGGCTACCTCACCAAACTACTGGAACCTACATTCAATGAAGCACAATTTGAAGAACAATTCCTACAGTGGGAGTATGACATCAACCGCTACGAGAAAGACAACGGCACAGCACTACCAGATGGAGTGAAGATTGCAATACTACTCAACAAGACTAAAGGAGCACTTCAACAACATCTCCAACTACGCGCTGGACAGATCACGAACTACAACGAGATCAGAGTTGTGATCCTGGACTACTACAAAACCATATCTGCATTCTCAAGAGCGAGCTCAGCAGTTGGCACAAACTACAATGGTGGAACAGCACCAATGGACGTGGACAACATTTGGAGAAAAGGAAGAAACTACAAAGGCAAAGGCAAATATGGAGGCAAAGGACACTACAAAGGAAACAAAGGAAAAGGCAAGTACAGAAGCAAAGGCCAATACAAAGGATTCGACAAAGGCAGCAAAGGAAACTACAACAAAGGAGGATACAACAAGAGCAAAGGAAAAGGCTACCCAGGATCCAAAGGATATTGATCAAGCAAAGGCTACAAAGGCCAAGGAAACTACAGCAAATCAAAAGGGAAAGGAAACAACAACTACACAACATGCCATCGATGTGGCAAGCCCGGCCACTGGGCACAAGACTGCAGAGTGCCAGTATGGCACATAGGAGAAGGAGAAGAACTACATCCAATAGAAAATGAACAAGCAGATCATGACAACAATGAAGAACTACCTCAGGATGTGAACGACACCTGGGACTGGTACTACGAAGGAGAAGAAGGACAACACGAGGTGAACTACATGGAGGAGAACTGGAACGACTACGACTATGACAACAGCTGGGATTGGAATGACAACAGCTATGAGGACACAGCAAACTACATTGGAGGCATCAACGAGTCACACCTCACCATTGGACACATCAGACAAGCAAACTCACGACTACACAAGCACAAATCCAAATCACTACTTGGCAAGAGAACAACACACACAACATCATGGAACGACCACAGCAAGAGCTTTCAACAATTCCTACAAGAAGACAACACACAGCCACACTTTGACATAGCAGCAGCAAGACAACCACAAAGGAACAAGAAGATTGAGGACACTATCACACACTACATCATGTATTCCAACTTCAAGTCATACCACCACCTGTTGATCGACTCAGGAGCATCTACACATGTTTGCCCGAAGGACTACGCACCAGGCCTACCGCTACGACCTTGTGGAGAATCGGTTCCACAACTCTACACGGTTACAAACAAGAAGATTCCTGTCTACGGCATCAAGTACGTTCCCTACAAGCAGGACAACTTCAGGATCATGATACCCTACTACGTTTGTGATGTGAAGTATCCAATCCTCAGTGCATCAAGACTACTTGATAGAGGATATGGACTTGACTTCACTCCACGACACTGCACCATCACACATGGACAACAACAAGCACACCTCATAAGACACTCAGGACTTTTCTACCTACGAGCAGAGAAGATCGACATCCCTACTGGATTCGACATCTACCCAATGACTACATACAATGGAAAATCCATTGCTGTGATTCAACCTACAGAGAAAGCAGTACAACAACAAGAACAAATCGCACCACTCACCCACACAGACCAAGGACTACGACAGATCCTTGGTGGAAACACTGACTACTGGAAACTTGATGGTGACTACGCCATCAGAGTACACAAACGACCACGCAAAGCACTATTCACACCACACAACAGCGGCTGCCCAATACCTGAAGGAGAACTAGATGATTGGCGACTAACCATCATCAACAGACAAGGGCAAGAGCAAGAACAACTACAAGAGAACCCAACACAACTTTCCAAACAAGAACTACAACGAAGACTAGAAGGTGACAACTGGACTGGAGAAACCAGATTCAGAAGAAAGATAACACCTACACGCAGAGCAACATCAAAGACAACACCAACAAGGCCGAGCTCACAACCACAACGGCTAATGGACACACCACCAACCAGATCAAAGATCCAACTACGAGCACCACAAAAAGATATGGAGACCTAAAGCAGCACCTTCTACCAATCTTGACACCACACAACCAAAGGAGACAATCCACAGACCACTCACAGCACAGGAGGACAACCAAGACTATTGGGAAACAAGGTGAACACTGGATAAGACACCACACAACACTTAGAACAACCCTATTCACTCCAACAGATGGACCAGGACATCCACCAATCAACACACTTGAACCTCACAGAACTACAATCACTCACAACAACTTTGGAGAAGTTTCACAACGCAAAGATGACTGGACAGTCATGGGCAACGCAGCACTACCATTTCAATGGAAAGGAACAACAAGGTTCACCGTGAAGAAAGACTACGAGTACATCCAAGAGAACCACGATGAGGAACAACAACACGAGCATCATGAAGCACACAGAGCAATAGGACTATGACAACCTCAGCAGCCCACTCCACAACAAACAGCAGAACACAACTTGACACACCTACCATACAGAAATTGGTGTCCAATTTGCGTTCAAGGCAAAGGACGCCAGGACAACTACAAGAAACAACAATCACGACAACCCATCATCCAAGTGGATTTTGCCTACATCAAATCACAACAAGATCCGAAGACCATACCAGTCTTAACAGCAGTTGATGTTACTACACAACTGTGCATGGCGGTATTGGTTCCGGACAAACCATCGATGATGGACTACATGATCAACAACCTACAAGCATTCATCTTTGAATGCGGAAGAACACACGGCATACTACAAAGCGACAACGAAGACACACTCAATGCACTACTAAAAGCAACAGCATCTAAAGTCGGCTCAATGACTGTACGACATTCACCATCCTACAGCAGCAACAGTCAAGGAAGCGTTGAGCGACTACATAGAACACTCCTCGGACAAATCCGCGTCGTCAAAGCTCAGGTTGAAAGCAACTACAGCATGACGATGTCCACAAAGCACTGTCTACTACCTTGGATAGTACGACATGCAGCATGGACGGTAAATCGCTACGTCATCCACTCAGACGGCTACACAAGCTTTGAACGCCGCTGGGGAAGAAACTACGAGCGAGCAATCTGCGAATTTGGCGAGACACTACTCTACCTTCCACCACAACACAAGAAACTCCCAAAAGCAGACCTACGGATGCAGAAATGCATCTGGCTCGGAAAAGTTTCCGAAACCGGAGAAAACTACGTCGCAACAGAATCAGGCGTACAAAAGGTACGAACAGTGCGGAGACTACAACCGGACTTCAAATACGACCTCGCACTATTGAACAAAGTTTCCGGCACACCGTGGGCACCACGACGGAACACCTACAACCCATCCTTCGCAACACTGTTGGATGCGCAACTACCACCGTCAGAGAAAAGAAGGTCCACGCAAGATTTCGGACAACAAACGAACGCTACGGACGACATCGTTGCGGAACCCGCAACAAAACAACAACGCACCACACCACCTCCACGACTTCCGTCAACATCGACGTCAAGTTCACGACCACTACCGGATAGTCCGATGGCTACTTCACCAACCGGACGACAACATCCACCACCACTACCAGCACCACCTCGACAAACACTACGACGTTTAACTTCGGAAGAAGTAATGCAACCCACTAAGCACAGAAGACCTCAAAGGACACTACAATCAGATCAACGGAGCAAGCAACCAAAGAACCACCACCACTACGACAGAAAATTAACGCAGTGACACTTCCCAACGGCAAATCCATCACACCCTACACAAACGACGACACCTCAGAAGACCAACCCATAATCTTCGACAACGAAGGTTACGACGAAGCACAACTACTGGAAGGAATGAAACACGAGTCAAATCAAATGAAGCTACATGACGTCTACGATGAAGTAGATGCGTCTACCGTCGACGACAACGTCATCAGAGAAGC